TCTACAGAAACCTATACCAATGCAGAATCCATCTAGACCCATAAATCCTGCTAAGATCACCACTTCCACAAATGAGAGCACTCCAACATGACTGCATCCAAGCCAATCTAGTGATCTTCCCAATAAACTTTCTACTTTCCATGCTGTCTATTCAATAAATAGACTACAACTGCCCTGTGACATGAGTGAGGTCTGTGAGTGAGTCCTTTCCCTGTCATGCCTGTCCATATCCAAGCTATCTCCTTGAACGCTCTAATTCCACCGCCTAAATATTACTTGGTTACCCTTTTCTGTCTATCCCACTGCTATTATATTAATCCAAACCATTACTAGATGGTAACACATGTTGCAAATAAAGACAAAAAATGAATTGAGAAAGCTGAGGATAGGACTCAATTTTAAGTATAGAGGCTGGAGAAGTCACGAATGGAAGGGTTCCAGTTCAAGAAGAAGCCAAAGAAGCTTGGGGACAGTCCCCATGGGTTTTCTTCCCAGACACAGGGAACAAACGGTAAGGGCAAATGATTAGAGACGGAGATCTGCCTGCAAAGAGTCATTCATCACTCAGTAACAGGGACGTGTGCTGAAAAATGCTCAATAGGCGGCTTTGTGAACATACTGGGGTGTACTTCTATGAACCTAGGTGGTGTAGCCTATGACTCATTCAGGCTACTTGGTGAGAGTGTGTGTGCTTATATGTAATATATACATATACGTTAATGTATGTCTATATGTATGCGTTGTCTGTCTCTCTGCATACCATGCCCTATCACTCCTACTGCCAAAAGTAAGAAAGCAACATGATGTGGAATCAAACACAAGGAAAAATGACCCAACCAGGAGAGAGTAAACACGGGATATATGACATTGCTCCTGGCATAAATCCATGTAATGTTTTACCATATAGTTATTTCCTATAAGTGGAACTATGTTTTTTGTATACTTCAAAATAACAATAAAAAGTATATAGTAAGTACAGTAGCCAATAGCAGTCATTTACATGATTATCAAGTGTTCTGTCCCTATAATGTGTATGCATTACTTTTATACCACGGGCAGGGCAGTAGGATGTTTTACTCCAGCATCACCATAGACGTTTGAGAAGTGTGACAGCAACCTCGCTAGTCTCCAGCTCCACTATAATCTTCTGGGATGAGCACGGCATATGCTTTAGAGCTGACTGCAAGTTGTGGAGCATGACTGTGTTTGAAAGAGTGGTGAAGATCCCAGTAAAGCTGGAGCACAGTGAGGAGAGAAAGGTCTGTGCAGATGCCCATGGCGGGAGGGAGGAAGACGTGAGGAAAAAGAACGGTTAATGTTTTTGTGTTGAATTTTCAAGCTAATGCTAATGCACCCAGCCTAAGTTATAATTACATGTAGTCATGATCACCAGGATAATGCTAATTTCTCAAAAACTTTGCAAGGAAAATGAGGACTTTAACATTTTCACGTTGACAGTTTTTTAACAGATGGTTATTTGGTTAACCTGAAGCTCAGAATCCAGATGCTGTATTTTAAATAGACAAGAAGGTGTTATTTGAGCAAAACCTTTATGCTCCAATCTTTTTGATTAGGCAAGGTAAGTCAGAGTTTAGATGTGAGGCCAAACCTATTCTTTTTGTGGCTGAGGACGGCATTCTCAATCTGTGCAATTTTCTGGATGTGGTTGATATAAAATGAAGCAAGAATGCACTTTACACAGTATAGTCAATACTCGGAATAAAATCAATGCATTAGAGTCACTACTGGATAAAGATTTAGCTTAAACCCCTGGGTATTGATTTAAAGCTTTTAATATTTATTCAGGGTTTTCATTGTTAAAATGGTTACTCCTAAATAATTTTTCAGAGTCAAAGTTAACATTTTAAGCAAGCATTTGAGTTATTTATAATTATGCCTTGAGAACTGAGATTTCATTGCAGAAAACAGAAAGCGAGACATACTCAGTGATGAAGCCTGTGAAAAATGGCTGTGCAACAGAAGAGCCACACACATGGCTTTTAAAGATGATTCCCTAAACAATGTTAACGTCATTAAGATTTTTAAGTTATTAAGAGGGATGTCTTACCCCAAATTTATTTATGGATGAGTAATTGTCACAGAATGTACACTGTAAGAAATTATGAAATGATACATCATGAAATAACTTTGACTTAGATGTATTTTCTGTTGGTTCTGGAGAAAGGCATGGATATGTGGCATGCATAATACCAGTGAGAGGAAAAGCACAGCTTGCCTAATATGTGAAATGTATCCGGGACCTAATTTCAGTGTCAATTGTGCCATTAAGCTCTCATTATTTCCCTGCAAGGCCATTTTGTTAATGCTTGAACTTATTGCCTTTCAACTTCTTCACTCTGTCATTGACATCATCATAGACTAGCAATTATAGAATTTATCCTCAAAGCTGTGCAGAGACTTGTGAGCATGTCTAGCATAAATTCTAAACTTGGACATAGAAATCTGGATCCTCATGAAATGTCCCAGCCTCTCTCTGCAACGTGATTTTCTTCTCAAGTAGACACCGACTATGAGTTCTGTCTTGCTGTGGTACTGGCTAGTTTGCCACTTAGTGATGTTAATGTTGTCATGTGCTATGAGGGAATGCTCTCTCCACTCAAGATCATCTGCACCACTTGTGGTGCCAGATGCAAGATGAAAGTGCAAGACTTGGTATTTAAAAATTAGTATTTCAGGACAGTAACAGTAAATATTAATTTACTGTTTATTAGTATTTCAGGACAGTAACAGTAAATATTAATTTACTGTTTATTAGTATTTCAGGACAGTAACAGTGGAATATTAATCTAAATGTATTATTCTTCTGAAACAGTATCTTGTCTACTGCACAAGTTACGTTATCCTGTCCCAGCATGCAACTCTACTGACCTGAATGTAATGTTTCAAGGTACAAATTGCAGGTATGTTTGTATAAAAAGCTTGTATAAAAACCTTTAGGTCAACATGAGCCATTTTCCCCAATTCCTATTCTACTATTCATAGTAGTAAACCATGTCCTTATTTTAATACTCTGTATTCTTGTATAGGTCAGGAATCTAAAGAAAGGAAATGATGTATATTCATCCTCCATCCTTCTTTCTTCCTAAGTGAATGCTTTATGCACAATGGATGAGATAAATTATGATCCTGCATATTATATGAGATATAACAGAGAGTTTCTGTGTCTTTATTGGAGAACTCCAGACAATTATGGAACTGGTTATATTGAAGCCTCTTTGTTTTCCGTGGTTGTCCACAGCCTTGGGATTCCACCCCAATAACAAACCTAAGGCAGCTACGTTAGTCACTTGGAGCCTCCTCGATTTCTGCCTTCTTCTCACAGCACGATGGCCAAGTTAAGCACTGGCTTCTCCAGTGAGAGAGCATCACTATAATGTTAGAAAGACAAAACATATATTCAACTTCAACTCTATAGTTGAAGAAAATAAACATAGTAATGCATATAGAAAATAAATGCAGAATCTTCTGGTGGGGCTGGGGATGGAACCTAGGGTGTTGTGTATGTAATGCCAGCTCTGCAGGCCAACAATAGAATTCTCCAAGTATAACAGGTTGTTCACACACATCTCTAAAAGATGGATGTACTTGATATTGATTAGTACAGATTCTTACCACTTGGCTAAAACCAACCTAAGTTACTGAATAGTTTTTGTTCTAAGGGTCTATCTTGGTATTTAATACAGAATGCTTCTATGTTTACATATAAAAATGATCCCAGATCAAAGTTTTACATTTTTCATAGATAACCAGCCAACAGCAAAAAAAAAAAAAAAAAAAAAATCTAGAGAGAAGGAAGAATAGAACCAGTCTCGAAAGAGACAAAGAATGGTAAAAAGTGTCTGGGAATAACTTGCTTGGAAATATGTAGCCAAAGCAACAATTTCCTTCCCAACAGAGGCATATCGATGAGTTTACGTATCGTAAACACAATGTGCCCAGCCTTAAAAATCTTTTTCTTGTAATTCCTATAAGTAAGAATAGTCCAAGGTAAAATATGTACTTAGATCCAGATACAAGAATGGCAAACTGTCAGGAATTTAGGTTGTGGATTCATTTTATTGACCTCCAGCAAATGTATTCACAGCTCAGTATCACTGAGAAAAACAGAGGTTCAAATTGCTGTCTCTATTTTCATCAAAGCATTATCACATGTGTAAAAAGTTAGTTAGGTCACGCAGTTGAAATGTTACGAGCATCCGAAGTGGGCTATGTAGATCTAGATTATAATGAACATGGGAAGAAGGTAATTGGTTTACAGCACGGTGAAAGTTAATGAAGTCAGCAGAAGCAGCCTATTATGCAGAGACATCTATGAGGATCCAAAAGAAACAGTTTGCTCCTATTTGCAAAATGACTTTGAAAATTCATCAGCTGACCTCACTGTATACATCAATAAATTCTGTCGTATTTGGAGAAAAGCCTGGGAAATGAAGCATCACCAGAATACTAGCAATGTTTATAAGGTCTGCAGCAGTAGAGCTAATGTTATCATTGTGTAGAGGGTCTGTGTTGTGCCACGGCATAATTAGGTTTGGTGTGTTCTCATTTTCAATTAAAGTGATCAGTTTAATTCACCTTTCCTCCAGTTACTACCAAGCTAACTTTGATAGCATTAAAGGCTTAGAAAGACTGTGTCATTGTGTCTTGTAAGTCTTTAGGATATTGTTTTATTTCTCCTTTTTCCTCAATGTGAATATAACTCTTCCTTTACTGTACATAAGAAACTAATTCTAGACAGCCAGTGTTCACTAAGAGCCTGCGGTACATCAGAAAAAGAGTGAAAAAAGTGAAAATGCATGAAAGAGTGTGCTGAATTTTGAGTTGGAAGGTCATAGTGGCAAAATTATAAGATTGAGAGATGCAGAAATTGAGGCTATTTACTGCAGTTAAAGCACGAGTGTAGATATTCATGGGATCTACATCCTGGAACTTTCATTTTACCGTTACATAACAGTTAAACGATCAACCGTATAAAGTAATAAGAAACAGGACTTTACAAAGGCTTTCTATTGGCAGCACACCGGAGAAATTCTGCGTCCCCAAGTGTCACAGGTAACTCAGAAGTGAGAATTAAAACAACAGGTCTGTGATATACCAGTGTACTTTACAAATGAGGAACGAAGGACGCAGGAACTTTCTGGAGTAGGACGAGGGGTAAAGACATGTGCCTGGGTCTTAGCCCCTCAGCAAGCTAATGACATACATGCCGAAAAAGAAAGAAAATGAAAAGTTTTTACTAGAAAGACCATCACTTGTCTAGGATTGCTGAAGCTAAACATACGTGAAATCTATGGATTAAAAGGGCACAGCTCTCTAATGTTACACAAGAGAGGCCATCATTTGTGTACAATATGGAGACGTTTCAATGCTTAGATGTTATCTTCTATATAAATGAGGTGACGACAAACCTTAGTTAGAAATCCCATCTCTTACCCTGGGCCACCGTGTGCTTGGTGATAGGAGAAAAGACCCAAGAGGCTGAAATGAAGGATTCAGACCTTTCGGTATTTCACCTGTACCTCACGATTATGTTCTTGAAACTATTGATAAAGTTGATAATGGGAAATATTTCTAACTGCTGTGAGTGTGGTTCATGGTACAATTCTTTCTATTGTCTCAGGTAAAAGCGAAAATGTTCTCAGAAAAGATAAATCTTTCAATAGTATTGGAAACTTAGGAATGCAGAAAAATTTTAATGAACTGAAGCAATCTGTGCTTCCACTGTGCTTCACTTTAGTGCCCTCTAGGCTCATTTCTTAGCTCCTGCTTCTTCGTCCCTGTACATGTGCTGCTGCCTGTGCAAGTAGAGCTGAGGACAGCAATTGCATTTGAGGGATGTGGTCATTTTAGGAAATTCATTGAACACCATTTTGGGAAGAAGGTAATGTAGAATGGGTAGGATCACTATTGGCATCTTAAAGGGGATTGATGTGTCTTTAAACTTGGTATTATAAAACAACATCTGCCCTTACTAGTAGCCTGTCAGTTCCCTGTACGTTTATTCTATCAACAGTAAACTTCTTTTTCTTGCATATTCCTTGTCTTTATTTTCCCCTTTGCATTACAGTAGTACACATCAAATTTTCTATGTGCCTTTATATTTTTAACTGTCATCCGGTTTTTTCAACATAACTGTATTTTCATTGTCTCCTAAACCTTATGCTTCATTGCTTTAGAATCTCGCTCTTTCTCTCTTTCCACATACACAGAGTTATACATTTAGAACATGTGCGTGTACAAGTTATCTATATCTACATCTATATATCAAGACTATTTAGCTCAATGAATTTCACAGTTTAGTTTCACCTATTTTAAACATATTAACTTTTTGCGGCTGTCTTTTAAATATTTCTGTCTATCTATGTGTCTATATCCATCCTTCTATCTATCTATCTATCTATCTATCTATCTATCTATCTATCTATCTATCACCTATCTATCTGTCTTCCTCTCTGCCTACCTACCCAACGTGCTATCATCACCATCTATTTATGAAGAGGAACCAGAGATATAGGGAAATGTGGCACAATGATAGTTAAGAAAAATATGTTGATTCTCTAACTGTATTTCTGGTCACTTTGGTGAAATAAAGCTTAGTTTCAACTAAGATTTTACACTTATTTGTATGATCCATTGATTACTTCATTTTTCAATGCTAGACTCATATAATTTTTTGTATACCTAGGAAAACATACAGTGACTACTACATAATAGAAACTTAATATGTTGTTGAGTAAAAAATGCATTTGTTGAATAGATAATTGGTCAACTTAGGCTAATCTTTTCTGCATGATAAAAGGTGTCAGAAAATAATTTAAATGGACTTTGCAGTTAGAAGTAGCTGGTGTCTCTACCAGAAAAGTTTTAATTGTGAATGTGAAGTTCTACAATTTCCGTGTGTAACAGGAGGTGAGGGTGTGGATACTGTGTAAGTCTTTAATTCATTTGTGGGCCCTGACTGTGAATAGGCAATAAATAAACTGAGTCATTATTGAAATCAATTTAGAGTGATTGAAACATATGGTGAACATTTCTTAAGATACTATAGTGAAAGAAACACGCTCGGTTGTTCTCTTTGATGTCTTTATGAGGTGTGATGAAAAATTCAGTGAATGCTGTGGCCCAGCGCTGTCCAACAGGAGAGGAGGCTCCTCATTCTCTTTATCTACTAGACCGGGTGCCATGTGACTTCTGGCTCTTCCCCAAAGTGAAAACGACCATGAAGGGTGAACTCTGTGGACGGAGCCTGGGCATTAAGGCGATAAGGAGAGTGCAAGTAAAGACACTCAAGAGGCCCTCCAGGCCTGTGTCAGAAAATAGCAAGGATGATGGGGTATGCATGTGCAAAGAAAGGGGAAGTGTTTAGGGGTGCAGTAACAATCTGTCATTTACTGCAATAAATATGTTTTATACATTTTCTGCATTTTCTGATCCCACTGCATATCACAGCACAGTATAGAGACCAAAGAGATGAAAGAAGCAAATTCTTAATCGCTCACCCAGAGGTTCAAACTACAACCGCCTCCTGTCTAGAACACCATGGAAAGCTCTTTTTGAACAATTTACTTATACATATTCCGCTGGTCTTGTTCTCCCGACATATGGTCCCAAGGTGCTGATGGAGTAGTTCTGCCATATCTCTGCGTAAACTGTCCAGTAGCTTTCCCTTTACCTAAGGCTGTAAACAAATTTCCCAAAGATGTCCCCAAAGGTCCTACAACCTCTGGCTTTTGCCCCATTCTCAAATCATTTTCTTCTGTTTTCCCCTTAAGTTCTCTATTCTACTAATGCAGATTAAGTTTAGAATCTTAGATTCTTCTCTGTTTTATTTTCATTTCTGGAACTTTCTTCCTTTTCTCTTGTCCAGTTAAGGTGTACGAATCTTCCATATCTTAACTCCAGTGTTACATTCTCAGAGATTTCTCTAAGTTCTCTGAAGGCCTTGCATTACATTAATATGGTTGCTTTACAACGTTTAACTCATTTATAGTTGTGTTCACTTGTGTGACTGTTTATTAATACATGCTCTCCCGGAAGATCAGGGGCTCTGGGAGGCAGGCTCACATCCTTCTGTGGTCACCACCATTCCTCTAATACCCACACTGTGAGCATACTGCAAGTGCTCAGCGCATTCATCTTGACGGAATAAATGAAAAATATTTCTTTAAAAGATTGAATAAAGAAATTTCAAAATACTTGTCCAAGAATTGGATATTCATTTAAAAAGATTTTTCAGTTGTAGGAAAAGGAAAAATATGGTTGTAATGCAAATTATTATTTTCATGTAGTGGAAAGACTGTAACATCCTCTTCTAATGATTCCTATCAGAATAAGGTAATTGTGTATGGAGGGTATTTATAAAGAAAACTAAAGTGCAAAATGGTTATTTTGGAAAAGTAAGGAGTAAATTTCATTAAAATCTGAAGTAGAAATAAAGACATGCACAAAATTGGATGATCCTTTTTTCAATCCTCTGTCCCCTGATGTTTTAAATGGATGTTGAAATCTTAACATATGGGGACCAGGGATATAGCGCAGTGGTACAAGCACCTGCCTGGCAAGTGTAAAGTCTTGAGTTCAATTCTTGGTACCAAAAAACAAACAAACAAAAAAAACAACAAAAACCCCCACAGTCCCCCGACTAAACTTAACACAGTTTCATCCCTGTTTTTCTTCATTATTTATACTCTCAGTCTAGGTATAATTCATTCATGAAATGGGCATTATTTGGCTGTATAGCTTTTCTATCCCTAATCCAAAACTTAAACCCTAATTGCTTTGTAAGAGAAACAAACTGTATGTTTTAGTCAGAAAAGGCTATGATAGAATCACAATTAATTTTCATAAACTGGACTATAGGGAGAGAACACCACAAGGCCTTGAAGCTTTTTGATTAACAAGCAGAGGAGTTAGATACTAAATTTAAGTAAGGAATGGATAGTGAGTTAATTAGCACAGTCTTATATACACAGCAATTTAAGCAAATTTCATTTCTTAGTAATGTTTGTGATAAACACACTTTTATTTAAAATGTGGCAAGTAAATACCATTTCTTATAAAAGAAACTTACAAGTTAAACTTTGTAGCAAGAAAAAATCCCCATAGAAAATTTCAAGATAAATGAGTAGAATATTACTGAGGAGTTTTTTCCCTTTTAGCAAGTAAAATAAATTCAATTTCATTATAAGATAAAATATGTACTAGCACAAAACCCCTTAACCGCATGAATCTAATTTTTTTTATTATTTGTGCCTTTATGGTAAGTGGAATACATATTTATAGTTTAAATAACTTCTTTATCTATTTAGCAAATGGTAATGTAGAACTTTATTTTCTCCACATTGCTTATGAAATGTCTTCCTAGTCTCCTTGATTGTTGAAATCATGGTTGTTTATTAATATTATTTTGATGTGGTTTACAGTTTTCACAAGAATTTTAACTGCGATTAAAATAGATTACTTTGGGAAGTAGACAGTTCACATGTTTATATATATATGATAGAGAGAGAGACATGCAACACTTTGGCTTTTTATTTTCACATTTTGAACACCATTTTAAAAACCTCAGGAATTCATTATTTCTTGTTATGTTCACTCTTTTCAACTTTAATTTGCAACATTTGTTGTGTATTGTATTTCTTTTCTGGTATCCTAAGAGATAAACCTCTATGTTTCTTGCAAATTGTTTTGAAGAAAGCATTTCCTCAGCCTTATTATGTACTATGTAAGCCAATTACAAATGTTAGAACTGTTATGAAACCTTGCATAATTTCAACCTCTATGTTCCTACTATATTACCATTTCCAGAAGATAGTTCCTAATTTTTGTTCTGCTCTGGTCAGTTCATATACTTTGAAATATGAGTTCTGTGTGATAAAAAGTATGTGAATATTCTTCTTTACCAGTGGTGTACCTTCTCATCTTTTACTAAGATCAAATTGAAAGCCTCATGGTTTTATAGAGCAGCTGCCTTATAACTACAATATATGTAATATAATGAGGTCTAGAGAAAATAAATACCTTCTTCCTGATTTGTTCTTATACATAAAGTGCATCTTACTTCCTTAATAAATGTGGAAATCCCATACATTGGGAAAATTGTCTCATCACCTCTTATTTTCAGCTATGTTTCAAAACTTGCATAAAACAAATAACCTAATTAACAAATGGCCACATGAACTGAACAGACAGTTCGTGATAAAAGAAGTAGAGATGGCAAATAACATGAAAGATGTCTAACATTTTCGGCATCAGGGAGATATAGATCAAAACTGCGTTAAGATTCCGTGTATTCTTGGCTGCTATCAAGAACACAGAAAGGAATAAATGCTGAGAGAGCTGTGGAAGGAAAATAACCCCATCTACACTGCTGTTGGGGGTGTAAATTCACCGTGTAAATCAGTGCTGGGGTTCCTCAAAAAACCAATACCAATTAGGTATATCGCTCAGTACCTGAGCAAGGAATTCTAATCAGCTCACTCCAGGGATACGCACATACCCATGTTTATCATGCGCCATTCACACTCGTCAAGTTATGGAAGCAGCTTAAGTGTCCATCAAGAGATGAAGGACTCGTGGTACATATATAATGGAGTATTAGTCACTCCAAAGAATGAAACTGAATCATTTGCAGGAAAATGCCTGGGGACAGAGATTATTATTTAAAGTGAAATAAGCCAGACTTAGACATATTTTGCATGCATTTTCTCAAATATAGAGTCCAGAAAGAAAGAAAGAAAGAAAGAAAGAAAGAAAGAAAGAAAGAAAGAAAGAAACAAAAAAAGGGAAAGGCAAGATAAAAGTAGAAGAAAGGCTGTTGAGAAAGAGGAAGGAGTTGGACGAATATGCCACAGTGAAACTCTTTATTCTGTACTATTATAATGCACTAGAAGATATTTGCATTAATTTCATTTGGGCAGCATCCAAGATACGGCTTCTTAGAAGTATTGTATTTTCTGCATTAGAGTTAAAGGATTTTTGAGCTATGGTAGTACTTCTTTATAATTAAAGAATTCCCACTTTGATTGGTTTTACCTTCTTGCATTCAGTTATACAACTTTGAAGGAAGCAAGTTGTTTCATGCTCTGATATCTTGAGTGTAACATGAGTATTTAAGATACTTTTTAATAATGTAGAATAGTAATACTAGCATAACTTCATAGACTAAGAACAGTAATTTCCCAGTAAGCTTTTGAGTTTTCCTACTGATAACATGTTTAGAAAGATTAGTTTGGTAATGCAATTTAATACTATCCCAGGAAAACATAATGCTTTAATGTCTATCTCTCACACGTTCTATTTTTGGTGAAAGATCTAAGACCTAGATTTCCTAATTAGGGTCAGTAAATCTGTTTAGGTCACTTTCCTTATCACTGGGACACAATACCTGACACCCATAACTTATAGGAGGGGAGACTTATTTTGGTTCATAGTTGCAGAGGTCTCAGTCCATGCAAAATCCGCTAGGTCCAAGTGAAAAGTGGCAGGGTGGGGGGTCCAGCCCGGGAGGAAACTGCTGTAGTCATGGCAACCAGACAGAAGGAAGGAGACTGGCAGGAAACTACGCTCTCTCACAGAGATCTGATCAGCCCTTACCTCCCAACAGGCCTTACTCTCTCTCATCTGATCAGGCCTTACCTTCCAACACCAAAGTCAGCTGTTATGATAATTCCACCAAAGAGTACAGCACCTGCATGATCCAGTCACTTCCAGGAGCTCCCCTGTCAGCAAATGAGGGCTTTGGGGGACTTTCCTGATCTAAATATGAACATAGTTGTACTCTTAGATAATGGTAAATCCTCAGGTCTAGAATGACAAATCTGAACCTTGCTGCTGAAGTTGAATGACCACACCAAGGAGTACAAGAGAAAAATTAAAACATCTGGCTACTTCTAATTGTATCAGTAGATATATGAATGACTTTTATTAATCTCTCATCTATGAAGGAGTGATGTTAAATAAGATCACCCATTTATGTTACTGGCATCACCTGGATCTAATAATTATTTGATAACAAAAAGTGATGAGGTTTTCTCTGGCAGTAATGAGTTTATATGTAATCATTTTATCTCATTTTTTTGTCCCTGCTCATGATGGGATAGCTAAGTCCTTATTCTTCAAAAGAACAATTCCATCCCTGCATGCTGGAGCATACCTTGCAAGCCAGCCAGAAATAGGCACTGTGGGAAGCAAATTTTTCACTAAAGCGAAGAAGACCGGTCACTGGCCTTCCAAATGTTCTTTTCATTACCATCTATCAAAGTAATGGAAACCTAGCTGAAGGAATCTTGATGGTGTGAAAGCAGCTCACAACATTTATAGTGTCGGGTCAGTATTTGTGGACCAATCATCGGAGGCAAATAGAGTCACAAATGCAGCTAGTTTCTGAGGACCGATCCAAACATCCTGGAACCCAAGAGGTTAAGACAGGTAAACTGATCTCTCTTTCTTATATTAAGCATTAAAATAGTTAAAAGTATCTAGTGCACAGAGAGAAACTTAATAATGTCTACATTGACCATCAGCATGGAACAAACTTGCAGTGTTTTGGGATCTAGTTCTTCTTGTGGTCTTATTTTCTACCACTCCTGCTGTGGTCCTTGATGTTTTAAACTAATGATGCGCTGCTTCTGAAGGGCTGTGTATATGTCCAACTACTTCCATCATTTCTGTGTGTCAAAATGTAGTTCCTTCTGCGACTTATTCCAAGGAGGCCTGGCTTTAAAAGTATCAGTTTCCTTTAGGTGGCACTTTCCAAATGGTCTGCAAAAATGTTTTCTGATCACATAGACAGGATCATTCCTATTTATGTCACACGATCTGGTTTGAAAAGAATTCAATGACAATGCCACAAGTGGAGAAGGAGGAAATTGCCTCACGTAAACAAAAGTATGCACGATTACATCACAACTCTGTGTTGATGAATGATTGATTTAAAGATTAATGTTATTCTCAGGTCATTAAGCTCTCTTGTAATTTAACACGTTAGATATTGAATTTTGGGTCTGAGGCATCTGTTGAAATTTATCTCATGTAAATATCCTTTAAAGCTTTGTTTTTTGTCAAGTTGAAATTTTTATTAATTTTGAATTTATCATTTTTGAGTTTGTTGATTATGTTTTAACTGGCAATTTCTCATAGCAAGGTAATTTATAAAGAAATTTTATTGCTTTTTTCTCACCTGCAGCAGAATTTCTTCCAACTGTGGTAGAAGAAATATATTTTAAAAGGATGAAAAAGATATTCTGAGACCTCCACTGTGGAAGACCTGAGTTAAAATAATGATTTTTCATTCATTACACTTCATTTCAGAATGGGCGTCTGAGTATACACAAGTCTCATTAACTTCACATGCACAATTAACACCAAGTATTTATTCAAAATATTTACCTTTAAATGAGAAAATATTTGACTCTAGATGCATACTATATTATATTCTGCAATATAGATCACATTATGTTCTGCAATACAGTATTTTCTATACTGTATTGTATGGAAAACAACTGCAAAAATGATGTTTGTGTCTAGTATGCAGTAGAAGTTTAGACATACATGTCATGCACTAGGACATGGTTGAAATATGAAAAGATAAAATAGTAATCGAAAATACACATGTGGCTTCTCTAGGTTTCCTATAGCATAAAAGTAGGTTTCTATATTTTCCTAGATCAACAATAAAGGTACAGAAACAACTGTGGCCTTGTCGTCTGTGGCTTACATGGGAAATATCATTTTGTTACGAAGCATGCAGGCACTAAATCGGCTGTTGTTGGTAGTTCTATGTATACGGGATATGACATTACACTGACTTTCTTATGATCACAAGATGTCTATACTACCTCAGAGGATCATATTCTCAAAATACGTCCAAAGACAGCAATGTATCTGCTATTTTTATCAATGAACAAGGGTTTCCTTACATTACATAATACTCACCTTTTATCTCCTTGCCCAGAATAATAGGTTGCATCATACCCTGCTGTGAATAAGATTGCCAAAGTCTGTACTGTATGTATGTAGAAAAAGTGGTCAGCAAGATCAAAACTAGCTTACGCTAATTATGCTAATTTCCATGGGGCTAGTCACTAGAAAATCTTGAACAAGATTAGCAAGTGAGAGGCATATAATATGGCTATCAGGCAAAATCAAATAATTTTAATGAGAAGAAAATAACATGACCAGAAAAACTAGCTATTGTGTACAGTTGCCTTGAGTCAATTCATAAATAAAAATATGCATTCTCAATAAAATTATAGATTCAATGTAATTATTTGAATTATGATGATACCATTTGGAAAGAAGTTAAATATGCAATGGTCAAAGGCAGGCAAGTAATCGTGTCTTCAGTTTCAGAGGAAAAAAAGATGTTTCTCATTTTGTTGGTGTTGACATTTGTAAAGACGAAAAGCTGAGGAATTCTGCTGTCATTTGACTGGACACCATGAGGTAGTGTAGAATGACGCTGAAGAGCTGATATAGATTTTGGAACCTGGCTTCACAGCGCGTAAATGGAACTTGACCAACGGACGTGGAGGTTATTAGATATTATTTCCAGTTTCCCTCTACAGATATATGACCCAGAATGTCAAATGACTTCTTTATATAAAGAGACATTTCTCTCTTTGGCAACAAGACAGTGTTTATCCTCTGGTTCCACTCTTTATATAGATGTCCATGGGCATTTAAGTTTAGTAATTGTAAAGTTCCTTTATAAAAATTGAAAAATGCAAATAGAGTAGAGTGATATTATTACAGGCCAGGGCAGAATCTGGAATATCTTTGTAACTCAGCATAACATGTATTTTCAGCCATTAGATTATTTGTGTCTTTCACCGTATACAATTTAAGGGGCATAAATGGTGATGAACATGTATTACTGAAACCTGCTTCACCTCATTTTTTCCGTATTCCATTCCTAACTAAGACCTTTGCTGATATTTCAGTCCTTTTTAGCTACACTAATATACTGACTAAGTGATTTAAATAGTTGTATTCCATAAGCATTAAAGATACTCTTAGTCTTTCATTTTATGTTATTGTACCAATTAGTGTAATTTTTTCTTGGTATTGGGTATCAAACCCAGTATATACACTTTACCGCTGAGCTACACACCAGGCCAATTAGTATTTGTTTCACAGGATAAGCTTTCTCCATAATCTTGTGCATCAAATTTACTTTCTTCCTCACATAACTTGTAGTTGAAAATGAGAGTTGGTAATGATTCAGGAACTATATTAAAATGTAGGAAAGATCAAAGAAAAAGAGAACTGGGGGGAAAATAAGGTCTACAGTTAATAAGTGACTTCAGAGTAGAAAGTCAGGTAGATAGTGAGAAAAGCTATTTAAAGTGAAGATTGTGAATAAGAAGAGCTAGAGAAGAAGTAAACAGTAGATTTCACAGCAGGAATTGAATGTGTACGTGTGTGTGTATGTGTGTATGTGTGTGTGTGTGTGTGTGTGTGTGTAAGCAGCAGTGAGACAAATAATGCATGGATGTGTTTTCCATTTTGTGACAGAAAAGAGGTTGAGATGGGGGTCAAGAGAGTATGGCCAAAGTATTTCAATAAATATCATTACTAAATTACAATCACATTTATTATATAATCTGGTTTCCTGCTGATGCATTAGGTGAAGTATCCTCCTGGGCACAGCAGAAATATGTTCTATGTTCAGAATTAGTCCTGCTTGTGGGCGTTGTGAATCGGTAAAAATAGTAGGTTCAACAAATGATCTTACACAAATCATATTTCACTGTAAAAAAATCAATAACTCAAAGGATACAGGTTGTAGGACAAATGACACATCTGGCTGGACTCTTTCAGTTAATGATGCTTTTGAAAGTTTCTCCAATTTGCTGAAGGAAAAGACCCCCAGGGGAGTCAAAGGTGTCTGGTCTCTAAATCAGGATCTACCAGGTCGGGAAGTTCTCGGTAAGAGTTACCCAAGGCTCTGGTTCTGACTGCCTAGTAACCCAAGGCTCCAGCAGCTGTGGCAAGCTCTGCTGGTCAGATTTAATGTCTAGTTTCTTGGTTCAATCTTCTATTTTGCTGACAACAGTATGCTGCTGTTTTACTTTGGATTATATAAAAATGACCAGGTTGAACTCTAGACACTGCAGCAATGTACAAACCACCAGTTATGGGAACAGTATCTTTCCTCTTGTACAAAACATCCCATGGAGAAGGTTCTGGGGAGAACAAGGAAAGCAAGTCCATCACTCCGTCTTATCTAACTTTACCTTTTCTAATCTCAAGCATTTAAATAATTCATCATTTCCAGAGCCATAAAGAATCTGAGAAATGGAAATCAATACGTGGGACATTAAAAAGAACTGAAAAGTCAAACACCTGTGCAAATGATGTTTGAAACTTTATTAGTTTTCAGTTATCTTAAAGAAAGTGAGTATTGGAAAAGAGATTAAGAACCAGAAAACCAGGCAGACTTGACCTTGTTGTTCCATCTTCTCCGGACGGCTGCAGCAATTGTGCTGAAATTGTTCACTTCCCTCTGGGTATTTCTTGGTCACATTTTGATTTAATGATGTGAATCCTTTTTTTACTTATGTATAAATAAGGCAACAGTGCAGTTTCTACTGTTTTATGTTACACTGTTATTCTACTCATACAGTGATCAGATATATAAAATGACCTGAAGGAAAACTGGACTATTTATTGATTCCTTCTTAGGTATTTTATCTCAGGCAGCCCTCTCACCCCATGTTGCCAGCTGTCGTACAATTTTCAGTTTAAAGATTAATAATAGTGGGATCCAGAGAAAGCACATGTCTGCCTAAGGTCACTTTTTCTTAAATAACATAGGTGTAACTAGAATCCTCACCCCTAACTTTAGTCTGCATTCTTGCTAAAATACTACCAAGCCACTTATTCTCCTTTAGTAGGTTGGGTGACTAGTCCTAAAATGGCATTAGTAGTAGTCCTACATGGTTTTAGTAGTCCTAAAATCCTTGTACAGAGAGATCCTTCTCAGTGGGTTGTAACATGTTTTTGTGTATGCAGGGTGCCCAGGACATATGGATTTTCTGATTTTGCTGCCAAAGTGATGGAACCAGTTCCAGTGTATGTGTGCTTGGAGAGCTGTCACTCATGGAAGGCTTCCTGGCAACAGGCCAACCATGTGTCAGTAGTGCTGTGCTTTCCAATCTGGAAAGATGCGTGTGCCATTCTGAGAATGTGTGCACGTTCAATGGAAGGATAATATAGAGGCCTCTTGTGCACAGAAGAGATCAGGAGGGGAACTTACCAGAGAAGGTTCATCATTTAGTTTTCCACATAGAGAAATGCTGTAATGTTACCTGTGACTTAAAAAAGAAAGAAGCAGTATGCACTTAAGAAGAAGGGTGAAGGGGCTGGGGATTTAGCTCAGTGGCACAGCACCTGCCTGGCAAGCATGAGGTCATGAGTTTGATTCCTGGCACTGGAGAAAAAATAGGAAAGAAAAAAAAAAAAGAAGAGTGAAGAAGGATGTGACAGGAAACATCTATTAGGCTATCAAATCAAATAAAGAAAATATCTTCTAAAACAAAGTTTTTGAGGATGAATGTGAAAACCTTGCAGATAAAAAGAAGCCTAGAAACTGAATCTGGATCTGAAGATTAAGCACCTAGGACTCCCAAGACCTCCACCAGCTCCTTACCTATTTTGCCAAATCATTATTAAGCCTGAATTATCAGTTGTGAACAAGTAATTGGTATGTCCTTATGCAATACTACTATAAAATCATTTTAAAATCTTGTCTAATTCACAGGATAAAATTAAGTTTAATAGTCAGCATACTTTCATAGTTATTCTCATGTAGAACGTTTTTTTTCCTGCCTTTTCTCCAGTACCAGGAATCAAACTCATGACCTCCAGCTTGCCAGGCAAGCGCTATGCCGCTGAGCTAAATCCCCAGCCCCTTTCTTACGTAGTCTTTGTGTGGAGTGTTACTGTTTTGGGATTGAGATGGTTTAGAATTAGAACTTGAAATTAATAATGGTTGTTGTATTACATGTTGTTATCATCAGAGTTTGTCTTTGCTTTTGTTATTTTGTTTTTGTTCTTTTCTCTTTAAACTAAAATATAAAAAAAGAATTAGAAACTGAGTCCAGGCGAATGAGGCTGTTTGACTGTGAAAGTGCTGTACTGAATTTTTGTTAATTTATTTAAATTATGGAAATGTAGAAGTATCGACTTGAGTTTTCCAGGCAATATTTTCTCAAATAGCTTTTTAAAATAGAAATAAATGTCAATGAGCCTCCGTTTTAAGATTATTTATCTAAAAATCAGGACCTTTATAAAAGACAAATGAAGGAGCTATCATTTAGTTGGCTCAAAAGTTCTCCTGGTTATTCCCCTCATAATTACATTTTTCTTACTTAAAAGAAAAATGAAAAGAAAATTACATTTTTCTAATTTAGAGGTAAGTTCTCTTGTGAAATAAAATTAGTATTTTTATAGTAATTAACGTTAAAATTGATGGTGAAGATTTGTAGAGATTTCTACTAGAGTCTATGCTCTATTATCTTTGCTTCATCAGTCGAGACCAGGCTAAGAAGGAAATCATGGCTTCACTAACAAGATAAATTATTTTTGTGACAATTGTCTGTACCCAGTAATGTAAATCCTTGATGCTTGCTCCATTATTTTAGGTGTCTAAGAGAGCTCGCATGAGTGCTTACACCTATTCGCATCCCTAGAACAGACCTCGGGTACCCACCCTTAGGAAGCTACTTATGGATAACTAAGCACTGGTTCCTTAAGGATAAGGATAATTCCTTAAGTTACTTAAGGATAACTAAGCTTTATGTGGTAGAGCTGTACCTTGGCCTGCCCTTGATATCAATGTGGGCTATCCAGTTAGGCAAGAAAATAATCAGATAACATTTCCAATCATGTAATTAGTATCCTATTGGTTGTGTTTCACATCCTATGCCTTGTATTTTCAAACTTAAGCTTTTCTCATAAAGCCTGAGGATTCATAACACAAACTAGACATGACATAATTAGGGATATAGGTTAATGAAGAGACATGATTTCCATTCTACCTCTCAGTTTCAATGTGTTTTCTGCAGACATCTATGAGAGACATCTCCAATACTCATTAAAATGCAGATTCCATTAGCTCATCACAGACTCACTATCTCAGCAACTCTGCAATGGGGTCTGAAATCTGAGTCCT